TGGGGGGGGGAGGGGTGGTTGTATATTTTTAATGTAGAATTGATACACAATAAAACACAGTCATTAATCAATTGGAATAATGGTTTATTAATCAGATACAATGGAAAATTCAAAATTCAGCTCAGGCTTCTTTTCATCCTGAGAATTTTCTGCTATTCTTTTTCAGACAGTCTCTTACTTGTAATTTTAATCTGATCTACACAGCATAAAAAGGGGAGGACATTTAAAATACGTGTGAAAAAGAAATGCTTCAAGTTACTGAGTAGCATTTAACTTCATTTAATGAATTATATCCTTGACAGAATTGCAAAATGACTGCCCAAATGTTGATGGCTGCTTTACAGCTGTTACATGGACAACACTTGCATTAATATATTCTGTGTTCAAGTTCATTCAAATTATTTACAATCTCTTCAGGATCTCTGAAAACAAACAAAATAATCCCATTAACTTCTGCTAAATTTATTAGAAAGAGGAAAATTACAAAACCAGCTTTCTAATCCTGCAAATAGCTACTTCATCCAAGGTCTGATTTGAATGCCATATAAGAAAGTTTTCAGTGGAGAGATCCACTCTTAAGCTTAATATATATTCAAGATGCTGTACTTTGTTGTGTACATCACCTGTGGATTCTGCTTTAATATCACAGAGAACAAAATACAAGATTTCAACTGAACAAATGCATTTAATTTCAAGAGTAGTGTCACGTGACACGTTGTGTACCACGTAAACAGTTTACATTTGATAAAGAAGAAACGTGACCAGTCCAATCATTCTAGGAACTTTCATAAGATAGCTAAAACAAAGAATAAAGAATCTGGAATTAAACTAAACTTGCAGTTTTTCTTAAGATTAGCTTAACTTTCTTCACCAGAAACATTCACCCTAAAGAAGGACGTCAGCAGTCCTTCAAGGGGGTAAGGGTTTGATTCTATTCTTTTTTCCTCGAAGTGATAGTTAAGCTTCCAGAATGAAGTCACCAGAAGTTGGGAAGCTCAGCTGAAGATAGCCAATTTCTCAGACAATTGCCAGATAACTGGGCTGCTGCCTCTGTGCAGGGAAGAGGCTTAATTGGCCTGCTAAGAGGCTGTGTCTTTCAGTTTGCAACTCTGCATCACAGAAACCATTCTAAGAAAAACCAACCTATGTAGGCTTAAGTTCCTTCATATTGAACCGTAGTGGTTTTATGAGTTAATGAGGCAGTACTCTGGAACACCTCTGTTGTAATTTTTTTCTTCATATGATCATAGGAGTTCAACGGTAACTTCCATGATAATAACTGAAGGTATAAATTACATCTGTTTAGGTGTTTTAACCCGAAGGCCTTATAGAAATGGGAGAGAGACTCTAATTTCAAGTTGGCTTGCAAATGAAAAAGCTATACATCAAATTTCTAAATTGTGGCTTCTGTTTTTCAGCAACAAGATCACTTCTGATTTTTCTTTCTTTCCTTTTAGAAATAACTCACTTTTTTTCCACATTTGATTTATTGGATATATGACATACAACTGATTAATGGTAAATTTTTTATGAACAACCCTGCACAAGCTTTATATTGAACAGTTAAAAAAAGTTGAAAAATGGAGAACTCAGTCATAAATTTTCTTCTGAGCATTTTTGTTGGTCTGTCTTAGATGGAATGCTTATATAAAAAAAATAAATGACAGGATGGGACAGGAAAAATACAAAGATACTACACTCCTGTTTCTGAAAGAATTTTGAAGTTATTAAAAATATCTGCTGCATTGAGGAGCGTGTAAGAAGGAAAACGAGAAAGACATATCTTTAACAGATCTGGTAACTTAAGAGATAACCCCGTTGCTAATAACAGGCTTTGATTCTATTTTTCTGTTGTCTGCAACAGCAATTTCACAAATCAAAGTGTAGACACTTCAATAGAGACAATTTTATAATACCTATTCTGCAATTTCAAGAGTGGTTTAGCTACTGAAAGCCTTCTGTGTTCAATTTAATTCTCACTTAAAGCTTAAAATGCTGCCTCTGCTTCTAAAGCTGTCACAAAAGGGATCTACCCCCACTGCAACTTAACATAGACAGCATCCTAAGCCTCCAGACCAAGGGCTCCTTGAGCAATTTCTATTGCTTCATGTAGCCATAGTAAAAACAAATGTCTTTAAAGGAATGATGTTGTTCCTAAAAAGACTAAAGAGGTTGTAAATAATTTGAAACAACTTTTCTTTTTAACTGGTCAGTTTATTTTTTTTTTCCAAAATTTGTACACTCTTAGACAATTCTTCCAGATTAACATATCCTGCTCTTTGAGCACTGTCCAGTAAAGCTCATCAGCAAAGAATAAATTAATAATTTAAACTGATGCTCTTTCAAATATAAGCACCTCTCAGACTGAACTGTTTATAAAGCAAAAGTATGATTAGCTGCCCTTTACCATGCTTTGCTAAATATATAAAATTAATGTCTTTTTTTCACCTAATTTTTACTGTTTGTGGATGTTTATAAAGCAATCTCCCACAACCACTATGTACCAATTTTGACTGTCCTTATGTTTACAACTCATCAAGAAAGGACAAGACTACAGCAATCAGCAGCTTGATACAAATTTCAAATCTAATCCTTGAAGGATGGCAGGAAACCTGCAGTTCTGAGAATTATTCCATTCTGAACATAGAACGTTGCTAGAAAATCAACCATAAAAACTTTCCAAGATTGTATTTTGCATTACTGAAAGAATTTCATTTCCATTGCACTATTGTGGGGTTCTTCTGTTTAACGGCTCAAAACTTGAGGAAATACTTTATATGCTTTAATACCTATTAATATAATGAGTTAATTAAAATAATTTTAACGTAATAATATTCAGGGAATATATTGGATAGATTATTGCAATTGTCTTTTAAGTAGTTTGTCTTTATTTCTGCTATCTTCATAAAATAATATTCTGAATAATTATTACGTTATTGTTACAGAACTATTATATTTTTTATTAAGAACTTCAGGTCATCTATAGCATTTATACAAAATACTACAACTCCAGGCAAAGTACCTCAAGCTAAGCAGCAAGAAAGTAACTCCCTAAAGCGCTGTATGCATTTCTAAGATCTTTACAATTTGGATGATTACATTATCTCAGTTTTTTATTCACTAGTCAGGAGATAAATGACAGCTAGAATCACTGAATTTTTTTTTTTTAATACCTTTCATTTTATTTGGTAGACTTTTTAACCATAGTAATTTATTGCTATCACTGATGAAAATATAAAGCAAAAGCCTGAAAGTACAATCATGGCTAATGTGAACCAAATACCACGTGATAATAAATCAGAAAGAAAAAAACACTCTAGAGACAAATGGAGATGCCTACCATTTCAGTTTGAATACCATTACAACAAGTGATTGGGTAAAATAAAAAGCTGTATAAATAAAACTATATTTTCTTCATACGCTCATATTTTCTTGTAAAGATGAAATGATTTACAACATTTTACATAAAAGTATAGGAAATTAAAAAACCTTCAAACAGTTTAACTTCAGGTTCTTTTGCAAAGAAAACTCTCTTCTTTTTTGTCTCAATACATAACAGTCAGAACAAAACAACATGAGCAAAGTATTTTTAATAAAAGGCACAGACATTCTCAAATTCATAGCTTGCAGAAGTCTTGCTACTTTATCTTTTACAACTTCATATGGCATAGATAAATTAACACAAATTAACTTTTTAGAGTTACTGAACATTTTTTCTTCATTTTGTGAGAATATTTTTTTCTGAATTAGTCTTTTCTTTTCTAAAACTACAGCCTCTTGTCATTATAAAGAAAAGGCTTCTGTGAGAAAACAATTCAGTGTTTTTCCTACGGTCTACCTCCAAAAACCCAACTGAAGTAAAAAAAAATATTCAAATGTATTTCATAGCTTTTCTGAGAGGTCCTCAGACAGAAATTAGTTCAATATCTAATAATAGATACATTCAGACAGAAGCATTATTTCTAATTATTCAAATATCTTGAAGCCTACACAGTGAGAGACAATAAAAAGCTATTAAATGCATGGCTTTTTCAGTAATCTATTCAGAAAGATTTTAGAAGTGTTAGACTATATTTACAGTACCTTTGGGTATTGTTTGACAGGGATCAGAACTCTCTCTGACAACTTTATGTTCTTGTTGCTGATAACATCAAGGTACTTCTTTTCTTCATCTTCCTTCTTGCTTTCAGAACCCTGAAATTTTTCAATTTCTGAAAATAATAGAAAAGGAAAGCAATCAGTGACATGACATTTGTCATTCTCAGAAACTTTAAACTTCTACATCATAATATAGATTTTGCACTCACATGACATGCACTGTTAACTTTGAAAAAACCTGGACTATTACCAGTATTGAGAGGCATAGGTGGTAGCTCATGGTTTGTACTATGATTAATTCTTTTCCAGCTGAAATTGACTCCAAATGATCACAGTAGGAACAGGAAAAGATGAAGCTTATGATTCAAGCAATCAATATTTTAAAGAGGATCACATCATCACAGCTTGATGCTATTTTGTAAACGTGACCTGCCAGAATTAGTCAAGTTTCAAAGGCTAAAATTAAGGAAGAGCACTAAAGCACTAAAGAAATATTTTGAAGTTGTTCAAAGTAAATTAAGAAATAACTCTTGTACAAAACAGTTTTTCACTGAAGGACTGCAAAAGTAATAATTATACAAAATAACAGCAATTATGTGTAGAACATTTGATAGGATTTACAAAAGCAGCTCCAAAATATACTCAGGTTAGATAGTTTTGAGTGTTTTCACACAAACTTTTTAATTTTTGAAGCCCTTTAAGTAAAGGAGAAGAATATCAATCAAATTTACTACCCTGCAAAGAATATCAAATGTGGTATTGTAGTTCTCTGATAGTATGGTACTATATAAAAAGTTGCATTTGCAGCAGTGTCACAATTGACAAGAAGGAAATGGCAATGCTTATAATGAGTTAATAAATGACTTAAAGGGACAGTTGTGGGTCTGAAAAACGTGCATTTTCATGGCCAGCAGAGCAGGCACAGGAATTAGAAACACACCGATAGCAGTGTGTAACACATGTAAAAGCTTATTTTATTTAACATCACAAGTAGTTAATGTAAATTCCAATGATTTACAAAGATCGTTATTCCCTTCAAGTAAGACTGGTGGGAAGAGGAGCTTTCGCAGAAGACAGTGTGATAAAATAATCACTGGATCAAGACAAAACATATTAATTTTCTCTATTTAACTAAAGTTGCTCTCTATTCTGTATACTCCTTGTGTCATTCCATGACTAGGACCATGATAGATGGTGTAGGATTCTATCGTGAAAAAATGAAGACCAGGATCAAACTGCTCATGTGCTTGCTCCAGGTAGAGCAGATTTCATCACTTATAAATTGTGATTTGCCAGCCAGCTGTGAAATTTATGGTCACATATAACACACACTGGAAAAAGATAACACATCTTTAGACTTCAGAACTTCAAGTTTATTTTCATGAATTCAACCAATTTCTGTTTACCAAAATACATGGTTAGTATACGATTTTGAGAGCAATAACAAATGAAGATCCAGAAGCATCAGCATTCTCCAGCAAGAATAAAAACAAGGAACCCAACAGAACATTTTCAAGAACACTCATCCTAGGCAGAAACAGAAAAAGCAGCATTCTTTGAAAAGAATCTTCACATATTTTCCACCCACTTTTGCTCTGAGCTAACTGAATTAAGCAGGGTGACAGATAACTATTCAATTACCTCCTACAGTATCTGTCAATCCCCCAGCACGCTTCATTCTTGCCTTTCATCTTTAACAGTACTGTCGCACTTTCTTGTGTATAACACACATGTATCTTATCTCTCTTAATTGGAAGAGAACGTGACTATCACAGTTATGCAAAACAGGTCACAACTAGGAAAGTGTCAGAGACGAAAGGCATTTCTAACAGCTTTTAGAGATTATTTTTATTCCCATGAAAATTGATCTTTTTTTTTTTCTTCCACTTTTTCTCAATGATTTGGCATAAACTAGAATAGCTGACTGAGTAGTTCTTACTTTTTCAAAACTACTTGCTTTAATCTTAAGAGTGCCAATAAAAAAGCGTTGATTATAGTTCACTTCAACATGCTTGACACTTATTGCAAAACTTTTATAATGAATATAGTTTTTCCATTAAAATTAGGCTGCTCACAGTAAAAACATTCTTTTGCTACACTTAGAGTCATGTCAAAACTCATCAAAAAATAATGTGCTTCTTGTCAGCCTGTCCAACCTACCAAAAAATGAAATCTACACATCCCTTTCTCTGCTGTCAACATTTGCCGCCCACTGAAAGGATTTCTGAAAGTCTACCTTGCACCTTACCCATGGGGATTCCTCTATTTGCAGCACTGGCATTATTTCAGTAAAGAAGCATGACCTATTGCTACAAGGTCTTGCCTTTTAAAAAATGATCTGTCTCCAGTAATGGGAGTGATTCCAGAACGAGAATATCACCAGCCGCTTGTCTGCAGACAGTAATACACACAGCAACAGTACATAACACTCTGAGAAGTATGCATTTTCATCACGTGCTTCTAGTTAGGTGAATGGAAGAATGTTTGTACTGAAAGAGAAAGAATATGCCAGTAAAAAATAGCAAGTCCAAAATCACCGACATCTCTATCTTTAAAAGAGCTTCTCTTATTAAAAATCGCACAGTTGGAACCTTTAATGCCTATTAAGCATTATTTAATATTGTTAAAATTGCACAACGTCCCAAAGTATTTTTAAAATAGTTATCACTGAAAATACAGATGAAGGCTCATGAAGGCTATCTATGCTGTTTCAGTTGTAATTGAAAGCAGAGCTACTGGATTTTTGGGGAGAAAAAAAACCACATTATTTAATATACAATTGAAAAAAACTACAGTGAAGTTAATCTGTGAGAATAGAAAATCTTAAGAGATTTCCTGTCACAAAAAGGAAATCCACATTCCCGAAAGACAGGCTAATTAAAAGTAAATAGTTTTGTGGCTAGTAAGAAAGCAGAAGGGTTATCAAGACAGCACAACCAGCCAGAGCCTCTGAAAATTACACACTGGCTCACTCCATTCACCCAGAACTACATGCACCTATTGGCAACATTCCTGCACTCTAGTTACACATATTCATTCACTGACACAGCTTGTAGGAATGACTCAGCAAGATCCTACAAATGTAACAGCACTTAGATATCTGTCTCTCAAATTTGCTTGAACTTGCCCAAAATATTTAAATGTTATTGCAAAGTTAGACAGAATGAGCAAGATAGCATAAATCCTATATCCTTAAGAACTTTCTTAATAAAATGCAGTGATATAGATAGAGAAGTTAAACGTCTATAGACAATCCAAACTGATTAAAAACCAAAGATAATTATCACGAAACCAAAGGAGGAGAAAGTAAAAGTGAGAAAAGGCTGAGTAGAACTGAAGATTTCCTACCCATCTTTCTATAGACAATTGATTTTTACTGCCTGCTTAACAGTTTGAGAGCTCTCAGCAACTTGCAGAGATATGCCAAAGGTGTCTCTAGATTACCGTATCCACAGAAATACAAATATTTACTCTATCTACCCATTGTTCTATATAGATCAGGATAAATTAGAAAAGCTGTACAGAGAATATTAATAGGGTTAAATAACTAGAAAATTTTATAGGTAGGAATACCAGATACCAATAACTACCTGAACACTTTCTGCTCAGGCACAGAGATTTCTAGGGAGAAAGTTAATTCTGATTGCCAAATAGTTCTAGCTTGATTGCCAACTAATTCCTCACTACACTATTCCATGTAATTCTAGATACATATCAACTGTAATCACAAAAAAAAACAAAACAGTATTTATGATGAAATTTACTGTTACATACAAAGTTAAACCGATGGAGTCTTTGTCTCACCAGTAAAAACAGTAACAAACAACAATCACTCAAAATCAGCAGCAGTGTGCAGTATAAAAAAAAAGATCAAGGATGCATGTTCAGCGTAGTGACCTACTGAAATACAGTATCTCATGAAATTAGTCATAGCAATGTCAGCTAAAAGACAGTAATTTCTTTATTGCTTTTTAGAGAATATTCTTAGTAAAAGGACTAAAACAATTACAACACTGACAAAAAAAAAGGAAGCCAGTTAAGTGAAATTTTAAAGACCATTCAAATGTATATTAAGTAAATTTGAAATCAAATTTTACAAAGAATATCTTTGTAGAGTTAGCTTGCATAGGCTAGGATGAAGGTTTGAATGCTCACTGTTGTATTGCTAGAACTACTGAACTCAGTACAGTTCTCTCTTCTTACGTCTTACCTTCAAAGCAGCTAAGGTAGTATAATGAATGTGCTATCAGGTAGATGAAATACCATCCTGAAAGTTGTAGAGGTATTTTTTCTTGGATTGTAATTTTCTTTAATCTCATAAAAATAGGAAATACTGAGAAGGAAGATTTACTCAGACCAGAGCACAAAAGAAAGCAAAAACCACCAAAAAATATCAAGAGCATATTATTTCTGAACACATCCTTAGGTGTCCTTGAATTTAACATCTTAGAAAACCCAATTTCTGTGATGTTTCAGAAACAGAAAGCATTTATTTGTCAACAAAGACTTTTGTAGCTTCTACTGTGTTAAAGCCCATTCAACAACGTACTTTAAGACATGCTCAAGTGCTCTCCTGGATTAATCTAAAGAGAAAACATCAATGCTGTGTTACATATTGTACAGTGCAGAGCAGATAAGCATAGGGTGAAAGATGAATTGATCGGCAAAGTCACCAGCAAGTCCCTCAGTGAGATATTTATTACTTATATCTTCCTATCTGAAAGCCGATGTTATTCTGGAGGTACTCTATGTAGCTGGAAGTATTCTCTCTCTTCACAGTTGCCACAAAGAAGGAAAGCTTTTCTTTTTCTTCCTGAGTCCTAGAACTTACTAGCAATAAAACATCTCCTATTCTGTTTTCAGAGCAAGATAGAGAATTGAACAGCAGGCTTCTTTTTTTATTTTTTTTTTCCAGGTCTTATTTAGCCATTTCAGGGTTTTTCTGTACTGTAAGATAGAACAGCTATAGAGCATGTAGAGTGTAAGAATGACATCTGAAAGCACACTGTATTGAAAATTATGAATAAATGCAACTTACTGAAGTAAAGAACTGGTAAAAGATCTGCTTGTGGCTCAGACTTCTCACCAACCACTCTTGCTTTTCCAGTCAGCAGTGACAATAATGAGCTAATAACCTATGCTCACTTAATTATCAAAGTACGTGAAAGCAGTCTACAGATCTTTGAACAGCAGTTTCCACTTAGAATGTGACCACAGATCTTGAGCTCAGAAAGTTGACTGTATTTGAAACAGTGACAAGAAAACTTCAAAAGAACCAAATAACTGATGAATTACTGAGAGATGGAAGATATTCTGGGTGTCTTAGAATAATACTGTAGTTTCCTAACATGTTTATGTCAGAAAATACAAAACAATGTCTCTGAATACAATACAGTATCAAATAATCAAATATTAAATATATACTTTACTCATAACTGGTTAAAAAAAAATGAAGGAGGAAATCCAAAAATTCAGTGCTTATTTATATGATTATATATACCTACCTATCTGCAATGATGCACTCTCTTAAACATCCATTGTTTTATCACAATCTAGTTACATTTACAAGAAAGCTACATCCTGGCACTTCTTGGCCCTACATAGGCCACAGATATGATAAAGGCTGCTGTGTTTTTTTGTTTTTGTTTTTTGTTGTTGTTGTTTTTGTTTTGTGGCAAAGATTAGTTTTTAAGATATTCAGAGGTTTGCTAGATGTTTCCAGAATTCTGTAATTCTTTCGAAAGTTCATATTATCCACTATTACAAAGGCAGATTACTAACCTGTTTCTACTAGACTTCATAATTGATGCATGCTTTCTCTTGCTGTAGATTTTAGTTTACCTAATAGAATCATAGAATGGTTTGGTTAAAAGGGACCTTTTAGATCATCTACTTCCAACCCCATGCTATAGGCAGGGACACCTCTCCATAGACCAGGTTGCTCAAAGCCCCATCCAGCCTGGCCTTGAATGCCTCCAGGCAGGGGTATACACATCCTCACTGGGCAACCTGTTCCAGTGTCTTACCACCCTCACAGTAAAGAATTTCTTCCTAGTATCTAGTCTGAGTCTACCTGCCTCCAGTTTAAGACCACTTCCTTTTGTTCTCTTGCTACCCGCTCTTTTGAAAAGTTCCTCCCCAAGTTCCTTATATCAGACTGAAAACAACAATTATAAATAATATTTTTGCATTAAAAACATTGGAGATCTTGTATTGCTCTGAGCCTTTACTCTCAAGACTGTACAAAGAGATCCTTGCTCCAGGGAATCAATAAATGTACATTAAAAGGTTATTTCAGGCTGAGAGACTTGGGGCTGTTCAGCTTGGAGGAGAGAAGGCTTTGGAGAGACCTGAGATCAGCCTTTTGGTATCTACAGGCAGGCAATAAGAAAGAAGGTGTCAGACTCTTTAGCAGGGTCTGCGGTGATAGAACAAGGGGAAATGGCTTCAGGCTCAAAGAGGGAAGATTTAGAACAGACATATAAAGAGGTTTTTTTTTGTTTTTTGTTTGTTTGTTTTGTTTTGATTTTGTTTTTTAATTTTTTTATTATTATTATTATTATTATTTAACAATAAGAGTAGTGAAGCATGGGAACAGGTTGCACAGAGAGGTGGTGGATGTCCAGTCCTAGGAGACATTCAAGGTCAGACTGGACAGAGCAACCTGATCTTGTTTTA